TGAGATCCATTGACATAGAAGGCATTTCTTGTTCTGGTGGTGATTACAGGACTGACTCTTTGCCTCCTCTGGAACATAGTAGCTGTTTCTACGGCATGGATCAAGGGAGAAGGTAGGTTGAAATATCATTTTTGCAAAAATGCTTTATCTGTAGGAATTAATTGTTTTCCTGAATGTCTAAAATTTTTGTTCTTATCATTTTAACATTTTTTTGGTTGCAGGGGTAAAAATCTGGTTCCTTGCTATCATCTATTTCATTTCTGGGGTTCCAGGAGGGTATTTCTTGTGGTATCGCCCACTTTATAATGCATCTAGGTAAGTACCTTTCTTCATCTTTAGCTTGTCTGTGCGCTCCCCTCTTTCATTTGAATGGGATTGCTTTGGTTTTACTTGTTCAAATAATTTGTTGTTGTTCGAGACTGGTTTCTTAAAGAAATAATTTGGCTAAATACTAAACTTCAATATTGTTTTCTTATAGGAAAAAATGATATACTTATAGTTCTAGATTCTAGAGAAACAGTGGATCAGTCGAATAGATTTTTAAATGAGTGTATATCTATATAGGCATATATTTGATAAAGCTCCCAACGTCTGAAGGTGGAACCTATACAAAGTTTTTCTCTTACCTTTTCTGTGTGTGTGTAGTGTTATTACATATTACCACCGAAGTATTGCTATTAATGATCATTCTTTTCTCTTTATTGTTGCAGGAGTGAAAGTGCTATGAAGTTTGGCTGGTTTTTTATGTTCTATTTGGTAAAGCTATTTTGCATTGCTTAGTCATTTTAGCATTCATCCCAAGTAGTAATTTTGCGTTTGAAAATTGAAGGACCTTTTTTCATTAAGATCTTGTTGATTTTTTTTCCTTACAGCTTCATATTGGTTTCTGTATCTTTGCTGCCGTAGCACCTCCAATAGTCTTCAAGGGAAAATCTCTGACGTATGTTCCTTAATATTAACTATTTTATTCTGTTTGCTGTGAGTTTGTGTTTTAAGTGTTAGCTTTATGGTCCGGTTGATGAAGCTTTAAAATGTTTGAGTCGGTGCATATATGAAGAAGGGCTAATTTACATCTCCATCTTGGCTATATTTTGTCTATTGATCTGAATATTTTACTTCCAACGTTCTCCAGTGTCATATATTGCATGGTTGGGTTGGTTACTTGTTGAATGCTCTTTGAGATAGGCATGAACTTGGATTGTTCCTAGATATTACTCTGTCGTAGAACTTCCAGAGTTTTTTTTTCTTGCTACTAACAATTTTTGTTTTGGGTTGTAACAGTGGCATTTTACCTGCAATAGATCTTATTGGTGCACAAGTCTTGGTTGGGGTAAGTATATTTTTTAAAGAAGTTTTTAGCTCATGATTCGGGGGGATTCTCTTTTGACCTTCTCAAGAGAATATCCGTCTACTCGATTTTCAACCCCTCAATTAATTTTTTTTATTTAAATCCCTCAACCTCAGATTACTTTTTTTTTTTTTGAAACAACCTCAGATTACTTATCTGGCCCTCAAACACGCATTGTAGAGATATATGGGGAGAGGTTATGGTTTATAAGTATTTTTGGCAAGCTATGATTTTAGTAATAAGTAATAATAAGGAAATAAGCTGAATAAGCGGCTGGACTAGGATTTATGCTGCCAAATAAATAATAATATGTAGCCTCAATTTTGTAACACTTGGCTAAAGGTCAAGTTGGTAGTTTTTCTTACATCCTCCTAACAAAATAATTTGCGTGTCCGCTGGAGGCTTGACCTCATATTTTCCTGTTTGTTGCAGATATTCTATTTCATTGGTTTTGGATTATTCTGCCTTGAATCAGTTCTCAGCATCTGGGTTATTCAGGTCGATTGCGTCTCTCCCTTTTTTTTGTTCATTCGCTTATTACAGATGTTAAACGACTGAATTGCTAATTCATCTCTCTACAATTGTCCACTGGTCTCTCTTTTGTCATTCAGCAAGTATACATGTATTTCCGAGGCAGCGGTAAAGCAGCTCAGATGAAGCGGGAAGCTGCCAGAGGCGCTGTGAGGGCAGCCCTGTGATGCCATGGTAGCATAGAACCAAAACGACGAAGTTCTTTCGAGAATATAGGTTGTATATGTGCTTGGCCACTGGCTGTGGTTAAGCTTACTGTTTGCCTTAGGTTGATGGCTGTTCGGTTATATTGCTTCATTTTTACCAGCCAATTCCAGCGTATGTTTTTCTACCCCCTGATGTAATTTGATGCTAGTGGTAGTTGTCACTTTCATAGACCGTACTGTTAGAATGTTGAGATTGAATGGTTTCTGAGTTCAATTTTTACAAGTCGATTGAGAAAATTTGCTGTCTTCATTTGTTCAAATGCCTGTTCAATTAATTTGCAAAGAAATGTTGCTATGATGATGTTAATTGTGATATGATGTTCTCTTTTATTTAAATTAGCCAGAAAAAGTGTCATTATTATTTCCACTGCAAAATTTGTCAACAAAGAAATCAATACTCTGAGCACTCACTGTGCAAATAATCTTATTTGGCCACTGAGTCCACACTTGAGTTGGGCACGTGGATTTGTCTTTAATCTGAACGGGATTCATCTTTTTCTTGAATTTGTTCTTTTCCCATTTACTCATTCAAAAACAGAACTTACCTTTCCAACCGCCCACTTGAAAAATCAAATTTCTTGATGATTTCAGGCATCAAATCAAACCGACTTTAATTTTAATTATTCAAATCAAACCCCTAATCTTATGTTTAGAATGTAAAAACTTCTCTGAAATCTCTTAAACTATAGGATAATTTTTTTACAATCCACAAATTTATCAACCTAATTATATATAGAATCTGGAAGATGGATGGATGCATCAAAATAGAACCGATCAAACACTTTCTTAGTGCAGAAATGAGAGAACTATAATTTTATAAGCAACAGGGGAATAATAAAAACTCATATCACATAACATCTTATATAATTAATTATATATCAGTCTAGTAAAAACTGCAGTACATAACTTTTTTTTTTCTCCATTAAAATAAAGCTTACTAATTATATAGTAGATACTTTTACTG